GGCTTCCTGCAGCAGCATTACCCGGGATGCTTATTAAGATGCAGGTTCCTGGGCAGCATTCCCAACCTGCTACACAAGAACCTCTTTGAGTTCTGGGAGGGGCCAGCAGTCTGCATTTTAACGAGTGTTCCAGATGACGCTCATGCTTCTAAAAACTGGAGAACTCTTGTGCTGGCTGTATAGTCATGTGCCCTGTATCTGTTGGGGTGTATGGCACAGATCTTTTCTGACAATTTTCTCTAACCAAACAGATGCCACTTTCTGTAGAACTTCAAGTCTGCCATGCTGCTGACCTCAGTTGTCTGCAGACATACATGTACATTTATTAATGATCGTTTTGTCTCTTTTTTGCTTAGTTTCCTTAAGGACATAGTTTCCCAGAGTAGCCAGCCAGGCGTAAGCAGTTCAAGCAGATATACTTACTGCCCGGAGAGACAACCCCGTTCTTCACAGTTCTAAAGGGGGAACCATGCCAGTGGCGCAGGAGCTGCGGAGGGAAGGTGTGGAGGTGGGGCTTCTGCACACAACCACTGGATTTGTACAGGAAGCACATGTCCCCCTGTAGGCCCAGGGAGCATTGCCCTCAAGTTCTTCTCAAAGGGAATGAGTGAGAAAGTGGGTCACAGTGTAGTGGTGGGCACCAAAGGACGCCTAATGTGGAACACAGCAAACTTCCTCAGGAAGAGTCCCTGGACTGGCCTTAATGAAAGCAGAGAGGTGCCCAGGTGGAGGTGGGCAGGCATCCCAGGCCAATCGGCATGAGGTAGCCCGAGGCTCAGGGCCTCGCAGGAGTGGGAGTGGTCAGCCCTACCTGTGCACGGGGCGGGGGGGGGTGTTATGACTTCTTGGGGGATCGTCCTGTAACCACCAATTTTGAGCTGCAGATAGGTATGTTTGCTCTAATTTTTCCTCACACTTACTGTCAGTCTGGGCTTCAGCCTTGTAGTGTTGTGTGTTGGTGAAGTAGAGACTTGTGTGAGATTAAGGAGGTGTCATTAATGCTCTGTGTAGAGGAGTTTTAATAGAGTTGTTTTTTGTTTTTTGTTTTTGAGGCCTGTATAACGCATGGCCTACCAGCTTTCTCTCCTTAGAGTAATTGGGCGATTCAGGGGTTCTGGACCCCAGGACCCTGGACACGACTGGAGGCACCCAGCCCTCCATGGGGCCCAGGGCTGCAGCCGCCCCGCGGCCTGACCAGGGCCTCTCTGATTGTTGCAGTGCAGGCCACGTGGATGGCCTACGACATGGTGGTGATGCGCACCAACCCCACGCTGGCGGAGTCCATGCGGCGGCTGGAAGACGCCTTCCTCAACTGCAAGGAGGAGATGGAGAAGAACTGGCAGGAGCTGCTCAGTGAGACCAAGCGCAAGCAGTAGCCCCCACTCACCACCCAGCCGCACCACAGCGCACAGAAGCTTCACAGAGGGACGGCGACCCCAGTGCATGGCCTTTGGCACAGAACTTACTTCTCAGTAAACCTATTTTCAAGCACAGCCCGAGGACCCTTTCTGTCCCACCAGCTGCACATCAGTCCTTGTGAACAACACATGAGAAGTGCAAGATGCTCTTGAGGAATTAAATGTACTTAGTGCCAGTGGTGCCAAACAGAATAAAGAGCAAAAAAGAAGCCAGCTGGGGACAAACCAGGTCAGAGGGTGGAACAGGCAGCGGTTTCAGTCGGATTTATTTACCTTCCTACAGGGAGTTCCAAAGTGGGTGAGAGGGAACATTATGTATTCAGTTTTGTGTCCTGGGCGCGCTGCTGGGTGCTCAGTATGTCTCTGTGTTTTCACAGCTCTCCTGAGAGGCAGGTGTCCACCAGCCCCGATTCACAGACAAGAGAAGGGATGTTAGATGTCTCATCCAAGTCCACTCAGCTAAGAAGGGACAGAGCGAGGGCAAAACCCAGGCCTCACCTAGGAAAAGGACTGGTGGGAAGTGGAGCAGGCTTCTGGAGGGGCTAAGCAGGTGGCAGAGACCCCACAAGGCTGCGTAGGGGCATGAGCTGAGTGGTCCTGGCCAGTCTGGGCTGGGGTCTGGGCAGCAGGATGCTTTCACAGACAAGGGTTCGAGGCCCTTGAGGTCAGACAAAGGAGGGCTTTGCTTCCAGGGGAGAGCGAAGCAGGGTCCCAGAGGCCTCGGGACAGGCAGGCAGTCCCGGAGGCAAGGATGTTTTCCTGGGGACTTCTTTGCTCCTTGTTCCCCTTTCCCACCCCGTGAGGGCTCCTTGCCTGGCCTGTAGCCCCAGGGACAGAACACGAATGTGTTCCCAGTCATCTCCTTCCCTCGGCTCAGGGGTCCCCAAGCTCCTTGGTGAGCCAAGTTCTGGCCCCTGGGGACACATCAGGTTCTCGGAGCCCAAGGAGTCCCACGTGCAGATTATTTCCAGGCAGTGGGGTGGTACTGTGAGAGAAGAGCTCTGCCTGGAGGAGTGTGTGAGCCAGCTGAGGTGCTGTGACCAGAGAGGGAAGGAAGTCATAAAGGCAGGAAACAGCCTGGGTTTGGCGGGAGGTGAGGAACCAGTCTAGGGAACCAAGGACCAGCTCCCAGGTGCAGGGAGCCTGGGCTTAGACACGGAGAGGGCTCAAGAGAGGGGAGGGAAAAGGGGTCAGGAGGCTTATTAGAACAGAAAACGAAAGTTGTCCCAGAAACAACAGCAGAAAGTTCTGGATCCCAGCCTCCTCCCTGGGCCTCACCTGCCCTGAGAGCCCCTGAGGCCCCGGTGTCTCCCTGGAGAGCAGCACTGAGGTCAGGTTCCTCCCGCAAACACTCAGAGCTCTGTCTGCAGCGGGTCTGCCGGGGGCAGAGTCAGGATGAATGGGCAGAGGACCCCTTTGGTCCTCAGGGGAAAAGGCTGTAGCTCCTTGGCCTGGAACTGGGCAGTCCCCTCAAAGACTGTGAAGGTGGCCGTGACCTGGTGGTTGAGGCAGTAGATGGTGTTGCCCAGCACAGCGCAGCGAAGTGGGGCCGGGTCGGGCAGGGGCAGAGAGGCAGCCCGGCTCCAGGAGCCCGTCACCGTGTTATAACGCATCACCGCAGCGCCCACACCCCGCAGCAGGTCGAAGCGGTACAGGAAGCCCCCCAGGGCCACCATGTCACTGGACCGCCGGTGGCTGGCACTGTAGGGGCACTCATCCCACACATCCTTCGCGGGGCTGTATCTGAGCAAGCGGTAGAAGAGATGGCCCCCAGTGACATAGATGTCCCCACGGCAGGCCACAGCCTCATGAGCCACTGGGAAGGTGCCTGCGGGGAGGGGCGCGCGGGAAGTCCAGGCGTCTGTGCGCGGGTCGTAGCACTCCATGCTGTACAGGCACTCGCCCCCAATGGCGTAGAGCAGCCCGTCCAGTGCCACCAGTTTGAGCTGGGCACGGGCCTGCTGCATGGGTCGCACCTGGCTCCAGATGTTGGTCAGAGGGTTGTAGCAGAAGACCTCGTTGGAGCAGACGGCCTTGGCGCCTGATCCACGGATGCCCCCCGCCAAGAACAGGTAGTTGTGCAGGGTGCAGAGACCGCAGCCCCGAAGCGGGACCTCTGGGGGAACCTGGGTCAGGGGCCGCCAGGTGTTCTCTCTGAGGTGGAACACGTGCAGGTATGTGTGGGGAGGCGGGGGCACAGGCCCCACCGCAGGAGCCTCGGCAGTACAAGGGTGCCTTGTGAGTCCCGAGCGGCTCACCTGGTAGAGGCTGGGCAGCACGAGGACCCCCAGCACAGCCTGGCCCCGGCCAGTGCGAAGGCTCAGGATGCGCTCTCGGTCAGCACCACTCAGCTGCCGGTAGAGGCTCGGGTCTCCCAGCACGTGCAGCAGATTGTCACTCATCAAGGCGTAGGTCTCCTGGGCCAGGCCGGGCGCCCCATGCTGCTGGGCGAAGGCCAACACATCCAGGCAGCTGCCCAGGTCCCGCCACCGTGGCAGAGCCACTGCCGTGGTGGAAGCTGGGTCCCCTGTGGAGGACCTGGGCTTCTGGGGCCCCTCCACCACTCCCCAGCCCCCAGGCCTCTGCAGAAACACCAGGAGTTTCTGGGCCTCCTCCTGCTTCTCCACGAGGACCTCTCTGCTGCCGGCTGGGCTGGGCCCCCCACTTGGCGCTTGTGCTTGGTGTTGCCCTGAGGCCACCCGGCTAACCTCCTGCTCAGAGTTCTCGGACATTTCGCACACGCTGCGTTTCCACGGCCGGGGGACAGGCCTTGTAGCAGGGGATGGTACAGGCCCAGCCTGGGTCTGTGCAGGTGGCCATGAGGGGGCCCTGGGCATTGTGGCTCTGGGCAGCAGCAAGTCTGGACAGTCCTCCTCAGCTCTATCCCCTCTTGGGCCTGAGGGAGGGCCTGTGGTGGGAGCCTCCTTGGTCTCCACACTGCTCTGCTGTGGTTGACCTCCAACCTCAGCCAGGCCCCCTGTGCCTGGCCCTGTGACCAGTGCGGCTGAGCCTGGCCTGTCCTCACAGCTGTGGACAGCCTCTTCAAGGGGAGAATCAGACTCTTTGTTCTCAGAGGGTGTGGAAGTGCTAGGATCTCTAGGTCTCTCCAGAGCTGCCCTTGGGGCTCTCCTTTGGGGCCTCTCTTGCCTGGGGAAGGGGTGACTCCTAAGAACCATTGAAATAAGGTTTCCCCAGCTAGTTGAGAACTGCCCCTCCTGGTTGCCCTTGCAGAGAGCACTGGGCTCCCGAGATGCTAGCTTTGACCCACCAGCAGGTGCAGGGGCTGTGGCTGGGGCTGGAGCTGGGGCTGGGGCTGGGG